CTATTTGAGTTCCGATCAAACTTCTACAGTAATATCGCTTTTTGTCGAAAGCCACAGTTAACGATCGGTAATCAAAAAGAGAACTACATGCACAGACACAGTGAACTTGAAATAATGTGAGCAGTCAGTACCTCCTATTCATATAAGAGTTCTCTGTTTTACAACTTTTGCGAACTTTTCGTGTCTTATCCGCTGAAGGTACAAAAACTGGATTCTCGACAAAAAATAACTATTTTTGTTTAGTCATTTAGCAATAAATTGAAAGATGTTGAAGTTTGCAGCAAAAAGTTTTGCTTCATTTTTTTTTATTTTTGAAATTTCTTTGCTTAGGTACAATAATTTACCAGTTTGAGTTTCTCGCAGCCTACAGCTGCTTGGCAGCAGTTGAGATGCTCGTTTAGTCAGTCTTTGTAACGTGCTCATTTCTGCAATCAGTACTGAATTTAACGCGCACTTTGATAAATATGTGCAGAAACTGTTTACAGAAGATTTTTCAACAAAAATTTCTTGTGATTTACCGCAGAATAGACTTTTTTCCTAAGTAGACAGTAGTTTCTAATCAAGACGTTAAACTTTACTGCTTTCAGGTGTAAACTAAAAATACTTAGGTAACTCACTTTATTATCTCTGCACTTCAACAATTGCCTGCAGAAATTTTTATGGTGCTGTGAATGCAGTGTTAAAAGTCAAAAAAAAAGTGCGTTGTATTCAAAGGATCCATTTTATAAGTCAAAAGTAAAGAAGCAGAAACGCTGCATATTCAGTCACATTTGGCAACTTGTTGATGAGATTTTGGTGATCAAAAACACTAAAAAATGATGTATTTTTCAATCTTTATTACATACTTTACAATACTCATAAAGTATAACAATGACAAATTATTGCGTTAAACAACCAGAAAGCTTTCTCATTATTCTGTTTTACATTTGTTGATAATGCGGTCAATTGTATGTAATTATCATCAAATCTTTTTTTATCAGTAACTGCGCTTCCCCCAACAATTCTGCGGTAGTGAGGACATCAAAAATCATAATTCACGAGCGTTTTCCACGAAGCAAATAACTATTTCAAGCCAATGAATAGCTGCGATGATAAAAAAGCTGATGCACTCAGCATCCTCAAAAGGTCGAAGGACAAAAACTGGGAACCTGATGAAGAAGCATTGAAGGAAGTCCTAATGTCTGAAGAAGTGAAAGATAAAAAGGTTAATATAGCTTCAAACAGATGTAGAGTTCCTTTAAAATCTTAAAATTGAGAAACTTTTCATACCGTCATACCGGCATTTTTAAAAACTTTGTGTCGTAATTTTATTAAAAATACTGAGTCTTTTAGATCTCTTTTGGTAGTGCTTAGCCACTAAAATTTCTTCGTTGAAGGTAATGTCAGTCAGTATTGCTGGCCCGTGTCGTTGCGGGAAAAGCTTCTTGTTAAATCTCCTTCTGAAGGTTGTCCACGCAGTGGAGCAGGGTTTTTGTGGAAACGAAAATACGATAGTGCCGAGCAGTAATTCAGGATTTAGTTGGAAAGGAGGTTTTTGAGTTCCTATTATCGCTAAAAAATATAAGAAACGAGTAATTAATTTCCATATGCACTAAAAAACGATTTTTTCAAAACAGCAGAATTATTTGGCAACTCTTCTTAGGATCGAAGAAGGAGACCTCAGGGATAAATATGTGGTCCAAACCTTTTTTGTTGAAGAATGTAGAAGGCGAAGAAATTGCTGTTTTATTGATGGATACTGAAGGCTTTTTTGATGCAAAGTCTACCTGGGAAGACTGTGCAAGAATTTTCGCGCTATCAAATTTAATATCTTCTGTACAGGTATGCAAATGCTGCAACAACTAAGGTGTGATACGCTGCTATTTTAAGCTTTCCTGTAAACAACTGCGGTTTTTTATATCATAAATCTGCAGGTCAACATGGTAAATTCTTCTCTTAAACTTTATTGAGGTAGAATTAAAAAGCTGTTTTTTTTTTTGACCTTAGCGATTCACCGCGGTTTTAACAAAAATTGCACTTTTCTGCAGTCTTACTGTCGCTTTTTATTTAGGTCTACAATCTCAGAGGAGCAATTCAACAAGACTTTCTCAAGCACATAGAAATATTCGGTCAATACGGCTTACATGCAATAAAAGAGAAAAGGGCTAAACCATTCCAGGTTATACCCAAATTTTACTTAATTGAAGTAAAGCTATAGTTAAAAAATTTTAGAATCTATTGTATTTGGTACGAGACTGGACTTTTGAATTTGAGCACAGTTATGGGTTTGACGGGGGCGAATCATATCTAAAGGAATTTACCGAGGTAACGAGCGTTTCTAGTATTTTAAAAACGAGTTTTAATGCAAAATCGAGCAGTATGAAAGTGTTGATTGCTGCATTCTCAAAGTTTTGGAAAACACATCAAGGAAGGAGTTTTATGAGTAAATAATACATATATTTAGCCTTAATATTTTCACGTTTTTATAGAACTCTTCGCCAGAAGTTCAAGAAATCTGTAGAAATATAGAGCATTGCTTTGAATCGTCTTCCTGCTTTTTAATGCCGTACCCAGGTCCTGAAATTGCTGGAGCTAAAGAACCATCTATATCTTTAGGTATTTTTCTTTTATGTTCTTTGCTGTTAAAATAATAAAAGTAGTCTGCTTTCGTTGCAGCTGTTGATGAAAAATTTCGGAACTGTGTCGAATTACTAGCAAAAGAACTATTTTCTGGCAAGTACTTAACGGCAAAAAAAATAGATGGCTGTGAAGTAACTGGCAAAGATTTATTTAGTTTTTTCATTGTAAGTTTAAAAACTCACACAGTTTTTTTTGTTGATATGATACTTTCTGAAGTGAGTATGGCTATATGTATTCAGAAATCCACAAGTTTATTCAACTGTAATACCGTTCCACCGCCAAAGGCATTGTTTGAGGTTAGCAACGATAATTTTCTTCCCTTCTATTTTAAATTGTCATGGTGTTCTTTAGCATTTGTATTAAAATCAAGAATAATTCACTCTTTTAAGGTAATTGGAGAAGTCTTATTCGAGAAGGTTTTTCAAGACTGCAAGGAAATATACACAGCAGAGATGGTTAAGGTAAGTAGTCATCTTAAATCAAATAAAAATAACGTCACCGTTGAATCATGATACTTAATTAATCTTACAAGCGTAAAAATTACAATTTTTTGTTCGATAAAATGTACTAATTTTGTATTTAGGGAAGGAAATAAGAAGCAGCAAAAAAATGTAAATTCCTCCCATAAATCTGATCATAATTTTAGTTTTTAAAACAGCGAGAAGAGGGAAAAGAAAATGCAAATTTAGAGGATCTCTACGTCTTGGTAAACTGCAGAAACTTTTTTCAAAGAGATTTCTGTTTCTTTATTTATAAAAAAAATAATGCTAAAGAGAAAAGTTGGTTTATAAAAATACATTTTACTTTTAAGTAACTTTCACTTTAGCACACGAAGACGACGGGTAAGAAAAAACCTGTTGTTGAATTAAAAGAAATAAGTGACTGTGCAAAAGTTCGCGTTCTGACTGAATTTGAGACCTGTGTTGGAGACACAAAATGCGAAGCTTCGGAAACATATCGTCAGCAGCTCGTAAACTTCATTAAGGTTCTTCACTTTTTAGGAGATTTTCTTGTCAAGTTATAACTCTTCTGCTAAGCAGCGCTGCAAAGCAGGCCTGGAGTGCATTTGTTTTCCTCTTCGCTGTAACCTCCTGATGCCAGAATACATCAAGAGAAACACTTTAAATTGCAGTTTTTTAGAACATCCTTTTTTAGAGTGAACATAGAAAGGCAAAGTCAGTCATATATAATAATGTTGAGAAAGTTCAGAAACTTGAAATCCTGCTTAGCAAGGGCAAGGAGTATTACAGCCGGCAAATGGAGCAAGTAACTATTACCACTAAATTTATATTTTTAATACATCTTGATGAATTAATTTAACATTTCTTCACTTCAAGATATATTTTTGGCAGCCTCTTTGCCAGTCTACTGCTGCTGTATAAGTAAAAAAGCATCCTTCCGCTTCAAAACCATGTAATCTTTTTTTGTATTTAATCCATAATCTCTTTTTGTCTGGCACAAAATTTAATGTCTCGTGATAGTGGAGAGCAACTTTAGAAAAATCTTGCAGAATTTTGTACTTCTTTTTGTTGTTCTGCGCAAATTGATAATTTCAGTTCTATATCTCCGTCCTTTCCTTTGAAGCAATCTAGTGACTCTAGCGAGTTCTCTCCTACCTCAGCTCAGCGCTTCATCAGCCAATAACATTTCCTTTTCAGGAATTGCTCGCAAATTTTTAACATTTTTTGAGCTTTCCTTACGGCTTGTTTCTGTCGCAATCAGTTTATCTCGACAGCGAGCTGAGGAAGTCTTTTTTTGAAATTCTTCAAAACTCTGATAATCCTCAAAATTAACCAATCTTTTGTCACCCGCTAGAGGAGGTCTCCTATTTACAAATTAGTAGAATAATAAGTACGATTCTTTATAATTTCAAACTAGCAACAGCTTTTATGAGTTGTTTGTCACTCGGCAGATAAAAATACCTTTAAAACAGCAAAAATTTGAGGAAGGTTGTTAGTGTGCGCACTAAGTGGAAGATCAATCACTCTCAGGAATTAGAAACGATAACTTTTTCTTTGGAATGCATTGAGATTCCTCGCAATATTCAAATAGCTGGTAAAAACTAATATTTCTGGGTTAAATATATTCGTCTACCCTTTTATTGCTGTATTGCAAAGGGTTTCAAATCTTTCTGTTGCTGAGAGGGCGAAACAACCAAATAATGAATGATTATTGGGAAACATAGAATGTTTTCCTTTTATATATTAGTTCAAAACCAAAAAAAGAAAAAAATTATTGTTTGTTTTTATTAAAAAGACTAGCAATCTTAATTTTTCACACTGCTCAAATTCTTTTGTAGAATCCCTTTTTTTACGGTGCTAGGTAACCCTATTACCAATCCTTTCTAAAGCTTTTCCTTTCCGTTTAAATTCATCTTCTACCTGATTTTCAGGAATTGGTTAAACGCAAACTTAAGTGTAATTTAGCGAATTTGGAAGAACTATATGAAATGATAAGTTTTTATCATTTTTTGGAAATACTCTGCTGGAATTTAATGATTCTTGATCTATCCGGTGGTTGTAAAACATTTTGTTCTACCGTATCAAACTTATAAATTTGATTTTCCAAAGTTTTAAAGACGTATAAGGTGTAGAAGTAAATTTATGCATTCTAATCACTGTTTTTTCTATTTCAAGGGAATTTTTAAGATTCTGCTTTTGTAATTTTGATACTTTTGTTTTAGCATTCAGAACAAAGTAATATAGAAACGTCAAGCTTGAGGGAACAAACTGAGCCGGTGAGTTCAAAGCATACTCTGTGTAACTGTAGTGAAACCTACTGCCTTTTTTCATACTTGCTGGTGTGCATTTCATCAACATGAGTATGGCGATATTTTACGAACAAAGACGTGGCTTGCACGCAGTTCGTTTTCAAAACCGACGCGGCAGTACGTCTGGCTGTAGCTGTTGTTTAGTGGAAAGGACACGGCAATTTTGTAACCCTCAGTGTACTTTTTTTTGCGAACTAGGTTTTTATTTATGGCTTATAGATAAAATTCTTGTTTCTTACGTAATCAACTCTTTAGTAATTTCTGAGGTTATTTTCACAATGGTGTATAATTATAGAGATTTTTTAGTATCAGTTTAAGTGCTAATGACGCTCAAGTTCCACCAGTTGCCTGCTTTTTCTGAAATAAATTTTTGCAGTCAAAAGGAAGTATAAGCGATGATGAATTAAAGAATGTTCACGAAAAGAAAAAGTGTGAAGCTGTTGAAGAGTTCAAAGAAGATATTGAAGCAACTGCTTGTGGATTACCTGCACATTGGATTAAAGATCTGGAGCAAATCATTGAGGTTTTTTTCTGCATAATGCATTTTTCAAAGGTATTATTATCAAGTGAACTAGAAAAAATGAGGCCTAAATTTTACTCTGTTTTTACCAATATTTATTAAACAGTGAACGTATCCTGCAAAACCGTGTTTTGTTTTGATTTAAAACTTATTAATTGGTCATATTGGCTACAGGAGAAATATCAAAAGACAGTGGAAGTTATACAAGAAAATGCTCGCAATCTTGAGGAAGTTGAAAATACATTAATTAAGTGCAAAAATTTATATGTTTTTGAAATAAAACAGGTAATATTTTTTTCCACCTAAAGACATAATGACAATTGCCTGCTGAACTCTTCACAACCTTTACGAAGTGAAAATTTTGCATACACACCAAGTTTCAGCGTGCGAAAGAAGGTTTGAGTGAGGCTGAACTAGAAAACTTGCATAAAGAAAAGAAGTCGAAAGCCATAGAAGAATTTCAAAGAAAAGTGATTATGATTGTCGAGGGGTCACCAAAGGAGTGGATTAAAGATTTGGATGAATTAATTGAGCTTTTACTTGAGTAAGTACTGAGGAATCTATTTTATAAGAAGGTTTAACCTACAGGAAACCTGCCTTGTATCATGAAGAAGCCAAATATTCAAGAAGAATTCATAATTCCTCTCTAATACTATGGTTCGGCAACATTCTTTATTCCAGTAAAACTTTTGATTCTGTCACTCGATCCAACTTTCAGTACATAAAAAAAAACACTTTATGATTATATAATTCTCAAGTACAGCAGTACATAATAATGACAGTAATAATGCTTTGTGTCGGTTACGGGATCAGTTAAAAACTTTTGATGGTAGTGAAGCATATATGAAATTTTCAGTACTCTTAAGATTTGCCGAGTCAGCCTGTTTTACTGCCTCTTGAAAAGTACTCCTTTTGAACGAGCTTTTACGCGGCGTAAAAAAAGTGTTCTTTAGAATTCTGTATTCAGGCAAAAAAAAAAAAAGAATGGATCAAGCGTAGTCCAAAACTTCGCTTTATAATACTTTTTTTATCTTACACATGCCAGATCAAACATGCCCAGTTAACGTCATAATTTTTGGCTAAGAAATAGAACATGAAACTCCAAACTACTTTACAGAGCGTAGGGTGTTTTCGGTCGTCTATGTCTGTTTGCACACTTTTCAGCAGCATCTTAGAATATTTCAAACTTTGCTAATAACTAGAGTACAGCCCACCATAAAGAAAGCCGAAGAAACAACTGAGAAAGTAGATTCCCCAGCAAGCTACATCGCAAAATTACGAAGTTGCCAGGTTGCTGCTTGAAACCTCTGCCTCTTTAGACTTGTAACTCCGCTTGTTATCAGCAAAATTAGATGTGCTGGTTTATTAAATTTGTTCTGCTTTAAAACACAAATAAAACATAAACTAAACGGTTTTATTCTATTGAAAAATTATATGGATACTAAAAAAAAAGATTTCAAATAGTCATAAAAAAGAATTTTAAAATTTCTCAAGGAAAGCATAATTTGCATAAGATTTTTTGCATTATGGTAAACAGAAATATACATTAGCATTATTTTGGAGCCAGAAGTTATGAGTTGGAGAAGAACGTGAGACTTAGAAAAAATTGCCGCTTTTAGAGTAATCTAATACATTTTACAGTTTCCGGCTGCTCCTGAAAACTATGAAGAGTATCAAAACCTAATGTATTTTAATTGCTAAAAATTTGTTTAAAACGGGAAGCTATGTTAATCTGAAAAACCCTCACAAATAACTCTTCTGAAGGACTGAAAAGCGTAGTCTTTATTCTGCTGTTTCTTGCACGTTGAGGCTAGTGATCCGCATTTACTACGCGAGAAACAAGGGCATCAATAACGTCTGATGTGACAGTAGCGTACCATTTGAACGAACGTTGCTTGAGACACAGGAAACTTTATTTTGGCTTTTAGGAAGTCAGTGAAGGAAGAGACTCTGAATACTATTCGTGGTCTCAACGTCATGCTTCCGCGCTTTCGGTTTTAAGAACAAACATAAGCTGAGCTCACCTTTCTCTTTTTGAAATCATGTGCTGTAATTCATGCAACCAGTGGACTAAAGCAGTAATTTTCTAGACTTTCTTATGATCTGCACTAGCTGCACAAATTTGATAGAAAAAAAAGGCGGAAAGTAGAAGACATGAAAGTAAAAGTTACTTTTTACAACTCTACAGGCTAGTAATTTGCTAATATTTCTGAGGATACCAAAAGTTTCTAAAGAAATCCTCAGAAATTAAAACACATCAAATTTTAGCAGCCTCCTTCGTGGTCTTCAAGAGCGGTTGAAGACTGCTTCGCCACTGTAAAATGCATTAGATTACTGTAATAGCAGTGAATTTTTTTAGTCTAAAATTTGTTTCCGGCTTATTGGCTTTGATATATCATCGGCATCTATTTTGAAATTTCATTAAGAAAAAAATTCTGTGTAAAGTACGCTTTTTTTTTTCAAATAAATTCGTGAGTGCTTTATCACATTCATTAAAGATCTTTTCTTTCATTATATCCATACCAGTTTTCAACAGAACTAAACTATTTTTTTTGCATTTTTAATTAGACGAAGTGGCAAATTCAGTGAACTAGATCATTAAATCTTGTTGGTGTCAAACTGAATTACAAGTCTGTAAATATATAAGTATCAAGCTGCAACATAACAAATTTTGTGTCTTTGAAGAGTGTAACTTGACATGAAATTTACACTTTCAGGTCCTGTATGACTTTCTGCGCAAAGGCATAGATCCTGCCGAGTTCGAAAAAATTTTAAGATATTGAATGAAAAAAGTGTGCGAACTAGCATGGAATGGCTCTTTCATAAATAGAAAGAAATAAGAAAGAAATAGACAATGAGAAGCATCTTCATGCAACTTTGATACAACGTTTTCCATACGAAAAAATCTTTGTTATTAATAAGCTAATAAACTTCCAACACAGACTGGGCTCTAGTGTCTCAAAAAATAGAAAGAAACACAAAAGGGGTTTCTGGCAAACTTTGCGCTCGCGAAGCTTCTAAGACCACTCAAAAAACAAAAATATCTCTTTTTTGGTACTTTATATCATTCTCGGTGTAATAAAATCCTTTGCAAATTACAGTTTCATCGAAATATTGATGTATATTTTTCTTGTTTGATGCATTCCAGACTAGATTTACCTCCAGAAGAAGTAGGTGGTCTTATTGTTCCTGAAAACGAAGATGAAGGTATAAGTGGTTGTTTCGCAAGAGCTGTTCGGAACGCTTTGAAATACAAAATCATTGTTGTTACAAGTCGTGGAACCAGTGTAATGAACATTATCAATAAAACCATTTTGAATGCCCGAGGTAAACCTAATTCCTGGATTCGGTTCGGTCCAAGCCGTGGTACAGGGAAATTTGCAAGTGCCCAAGTGAGTCTCGATGAAACATTTACTGGGTAGGTGGAGGACTGCAGTCACAGTTCTTTCTTCTTATTATTAGGTCCAAGTCTGTTGTCTGCCCTATTGCTACCAAAAATGTTTTTCAAGTGTTACTTCTAGAATTACAAATTGCATTATTTAGGTTGCTACGTTTACTGATAAAGCTTTGAAAACTGTGCAAAAAGTGGCTCCATATCTTCTGGGTGCTGGGCTGACGTCAGATGGTTACTCGCTCAGAAAAAACGTAGTAAATGACCTTAAAAGTGGCTCGATAATAAATGCCGTAACCACTGGAGCAAGTATTGCTAGTGGTTGGACTGGTGGTCTAGCTGGAGCATCTGCAGGTACTGTTTAGTTAAAACTGTA